AACCCTAAACCCAAAGTCCTAAACCCTAAACCCTAAATCCTAAACCCTAAACCCTAAACCCTAAACCCTAAACCCAAAGTCCTAACCCCTAAACCCTAAACCCTAAATCCTAAATCCTAAATCCTAAATCCGGAAACAGAACTCTAAAGTTGGAACGGCCCCGCTTGAGGCTCCAGCCGTGGGACCGCCGTGCCGATGGGTGCCAGTGTATGTTGTCTTATCCTTAGTGGGCGAAGTTAAGGGCTTCGGGTCGGTGTAGGGTTTAGAGCGGCTTAGGGTTGAGGGTCGGGTCAGCGCTTTGGGTCTAGGACTTTTAGGGTTGAGGTTGCGCTTTGGGTTTACGGGGCGGCTCCAAACCTGGTGCAAAGTACCCATAGGCACCATAGTAGTTCCTCTTTGGGATTACCTTATAGACTTCTAAAAATGAACCCCAAAAAGGAACTACTATGGGGCCTATGGGTAGTCTACATAAACTCTGAGGGAAATAATCCGAGATAGAGGCCCTCAACCCGGTTTAGGGTTTAGGGTTCAGGGGTTTAGGGTTTAGGGTTTAGGGTTTAGGGTTTAGGGTTTAGGGTATAGGGGCCCTCAATCTTATGCACCTGGACAAGGCCTGATGATTATGCCCTACTGACGTTTACGTCGCCACGTGCCGTAAGGAGGGCAATTCAGCAAGCCAAGATGCAAAGGTCCATGCATGTGGCCACTTTCATAGACTCCCCCCCCCACTAGAAAACACATGGTTTATGCAGAAGTCTCCAGGGATCCTTCCATGAACTCTGCGGGGTTAGGGCCCAGCGCTAATCGGACAACATGGCATAAGAGGCTGCATCAATTCCTCTCAGGCAGGAGCTTATGCCCCTGAAGCCATCCTGAATCGTAACACCAAAAACGGATAAGCCCTAAATCTCAAAAACCTCGAACTCCAATGCATCACTCCAGCCCGTTCTTTTTCAACAGACTGGAGATCTAGTGGAGAACAAAATCCCCACACCCATCAGCTCCGATCAAAAAGCCTGAAGCCTATGGTTATGTAACAATACAAGTACTGGTGCTAGTACTGATCGAGCGTGAATCACGACAACAAAGAGTCAACATTGCTGACATGGCTCTTACAAAACCATGATGCTGACAGCGGCAGAAACAGAAACATTCATTCATGAGCATACAACCAAGAGCAAACAAAAAACATACTCGTGACCAAGAGAATAACGGACATGTCCGCATGTCTAAAACTTGCCGTGACAAGACTGAATATTGAGAAGTCAACAACATATAAGAGGACATCATCATCTGCTAATGAGTAATGAGGACCATGGTGGAAAACAGCTGGATGTAGCTGTCATCAACGTTATCAACAGGTATTGGAACGACAGCGGAGCCGAGAGAGTGCAGCCGATGCTCATAAAAGAATCGCTCTGGTCCACGTGGAGACGGAGATCTCGCAAGTGTGATGTCTTTGGCGGTTTAGGGCTTGGCGGGTCAGGGTTTAGGGTTTAGGGTTTCATCTGCTCCCGGGAGGAAGCCGAGCCGAGTATATATTGAAATTGTAGCTCGCCACGCATTGCAATTCTCATCGATGTGTTCATTTGTTCTTGCAATCAGCCAAAGGATGTGATGAAGTCTGGTCGGCAAGCTAATCAAAAAGTCGACCTTTGTGCGCAAAGTGCTGCAGTTGGGATGTTTATTAGACAACTTTGTCAAGCCAATAATTCAACAACCATGCAAGGCACGAACTCAACTTGTCCAAAGAAGCAGATGACACGAGGAAATGAAGCCGACGCCCCGTGCGCGGTAACGAACTTGTCGGAAATATAGAACACGTGCAATCAGTGTTCAAATAAACCTGTGTTTCCGCAAACTCTCAGACACCAACTCACGAATATAAATCTTGAAAGGACGTCTTATAAGCCCCAAAATCCCAAACCCATTAGAAAGCACTGAGCCGGTCTCAAAGATCAAGAAGACTGACCTGGCTGCAGCACGAGGTGGGGATGTTCGGCCACGCCGCTCGGGACTTGTCCCGTACCTGTGCTGCATTTCGAGGAGGTTTCGGGGTTTGCAAGAAGGGGCACTGCAGTTGTCACGGTCCCGACGGATCTGGTATGTCGAGCTATATCCTCAAGCTTACCCTGTCTATTAGCTGCTGTTGATGCCGATACTTCCTGAATTTAGCCGAGCCCTTGATCCCTAAAATCCCTGAAGCCCAACAGTAGAAGCCCAAAAGTTGGAAACCGCATAGCCTGAATCCTTGAGAGTAGTGTAGAGGGAAGCCCAGCACCCATTGTCCTTAATCCGGTTACCAACTTTTTGGGGGTTTTTTGTAGGCCTTTAAACCCCCAAACCCTAAACCCTAAACTTTAAACCCCCAAACCCTAAACCCTAAACTTTAAACCCCTAAACCCTAAACCCTACACTTTAAACCCCTAAACCCTAAACCCTAAACCTTAAACCCCTAACTATAAACCCTAAACCCTAAACCTTAAACCCCTAACCCTAAACCCTAAACCTTAAACCCCTAACTACAAAGCCCAAAGCTGTGAGACTCCCTGGGCACTTGTGGACCCCTGTGTAGGTGCTCGTGTCATAGAAGAACCTTTCGGGTCCAGACGTCGGCAGCCGCTCCTGAACAGATTTTGCAGGGGTTTTGGTTTAGGGCTTAGGGTTTAGGGTGTAGGGTATAGGGTTTAGGGGTTTTGGGGGTCTAATTATTTTGGGGCCTTCATAATTAGAGTAGGGTTTTGGGGCCCATTATACTAGAGTTATAATAAGGACCCCACCTAAACCCTAAACCATAAATCCGAAACCCCCAAACTAGTGTGGGTAATTATTTAAGCTTCCATATGGGTGGTTGCCAAAAAATGATGGTCCCTTTTTGGGTCCTTATTATAATACGGCACCTATTATTTAGGGTGCCCCAAAAAGGGACCATAATTTTGACAACTACCCATGTAAGAGTTTGCTTCTGGTGTATCTGGAGGCCCATGAGTCTCAGGCTCAAGGGTTGAGTCGGTTTAGGATTTTAGGGTGTACAGGGTTTAGGGTTTCAGGGTTTAGGGTCGAGGGTTTTAGATTTTTTAGGGTTTTAGGGTTTTAGAGTTTAGGGTTTAGGGTTTAAGGGTTTTGCGAGGTTTTAGGGTTTACTGTTTTAGGGTTTGGGGTTTAGGGTGAGAGGTTGGTATAGGAGTTTGGTGGGCTAGGTTGCCGGCGATAAAAAGCGTATCCCGTTGGACCGCGACCGCTACGATTCGAGGGTCCTAACTTTAAACCCTAAACCCTAACCCCCAAACCCTAAACCCAAAACAGCAGAAGGACCAAGGGGCGTCTGGAATACAAGCGCGGGCAGAAAACAAAGCCCCGAAGCTATGGTTCATGTAGGATTTTGGTTTACGGTTGAGGGTTTAGGATTTAGGGTTTACGAGCTTATAGTATATAGGGTTTACATCGGCGGGGAGGAAATCAGCACACGCAATCATAACTCCGCTTGAACGCTGCAGCTGAGCCCGCCTTGAACACGGCTTTACCTATAGTTTCCATCGTAGTTCCGTTTTAGGGGATAACCAACTTTTGGTTAGGATCTCATATCACAAAACTGGTTACTCAAACAACGGAATTACTCACAGCGTACTTGGGGTAGACAGTCCAGGACTATAAAGATGTTACCAGCAGTACCTGCTCCCCACTAAATACGAACCCCGAGGGTAGGACCAGTATCAGTGCATTGTTTGCATGACTACTCTCAGTGTCTTGGCCAACAATTGGAGACGAAAGCCAGACTCTATCTGAGCCCATATGCAGGTACCTGCCATGCAGAACCAGTACTTCAGGGTGCTTTCAGCCTTAAAGCCTTAACTCAAAGTCTTTAGAAGCGTTTCACTTTGTAAGCCAGGGTGCCCCGGCATGCCCAACCATCAAACCCGAAACCAAATCCTGACCCCCCCGCAACCCCCNNCCCCCCCCCCCCCCCCCTCAAACCGAACAGCTCCCAAACCTTAGAACCGACACACCTTAGCCTCGACACCACAAATCTCCCTACGCAAGCAGGCCATCAAACACAACAACGCACCGGTGCCTCACCAGCCGGTTCGTCAGCATCTGGCAACCCATTCTTCGCCAGCCGAAAGATATCCTTCGAATTCAGGGTTCAGGGCTTAAGCCTTGAAGCCTTATCGCTGCTTAGGCATATAGCGGCTTGGTACTAGGCGATATCGGTTTGGCGGGCTTAGGGTTTTGGGGTTTGAGAACTGAAGAGGCCTGGGTTAGACGAATAAACTCTCCAGCCAAAACCTTAACCCCTACCTAAAGAACCCAAAACCTACTTTTTGTAGGGTCCCTATAAATCCCATATCAGGGTTTATAATAAGAACCTACAAAAAATTGGGTTTTGGGTTCTTAAGGTAAACCCTAAACACCTCAACCAGAGGCCCCTCAGCCTCTGGCGGACCTGTAAGACCCGATAAGACCCGAGAGAGACCGGTCATATGGATCGTCAGCAGGAAACAGCCCATGCAGTGACAGCTACAGGTAGCTAAAGCTTAGAGTAGAGGGTGCAAACAAAACAAACGGAACGAGTGTACGTTCCAAACGCGACGCTCTCAACCGTTGTTGGTACCAAAAGTCCTCGTCCGGAACAGATCGGCGCCTGCAATCTCCAAACAGCCAGGCTTTGGTTGAGGGCTTAGGGTTCACAGTAGGGCTGAGGGGCTTTAGGGGTTTAGGGCTTAAGTTTAGGGGTTTTAGGGTTTATAGGGCTTAGGCTTCGGATGTGAGTCGTTTACAGGGGACCCCTAAACACCAAGTACAGTCATCAAAATCTAAAGGCGCCAAAGTAAACCCTACAAGTGCACCCAAAACTCTAAGCCTGGGGCGGTCATGATTAGAAGAGGGTCTTGAGGTATACTATAACTATGTAGGCAAATAGGGTCGATACGTTGGACCAATGTTGCCAATGCTGTATCTACGATGTAAGTAGATTGACCGCTTAGGTCTTTGTTGGCTCGGCCAGTCTTAGTGAAGATAGGGTTTAGGGTCTAGGGTTTGGGGTTTACATAGGGTTGAGGGTCTTAGTGTGTATAGAAACTATGGAAATTAAACTACTACATTTGGAAAGCATTTGGGCACAGAAGGAAATGTCCACAGAATCATCTTAGAGGTCATATGGGAACATGGATCTATAGAAGCCAAGGATGAAGCTTTCCGGTACGTTGTTGATGTGCTTCACATTGGCGTTGAAGCTGTCGGCATGACGGCCAGATGGGCCGCTTCAGGCTTCTCTGGGTTGTTCTGAAGCTCTGCTACGATCTCGTTGTTCAGCGGTTCTTGTTTCAGAGCACCGTCCCTTTGGAATATTGCCGACTTTGCTAATTGGCGCTCCAGCTTCGCTGTGCTTGGCCGCCGGCGCTACTTTGAAGCCAGGTTCGAGCTCAAGGAACGAGTTGGGCGGATTTCTTATCTACAAGGTCGAGTGTAGCATGCAGAATGGAGATACTTGACGTCGTATGACAATGTAATTGCTCCCCGAGAATATGATGAAACTCCCAAAAGGATTCCATATACTCCTTTCCTTGGTGGTCTTGCAAGCAAGCGCTGCACAATGACGAATGCGTGAAGTCGACCATTGAGTCATGCAGAGCATTCGTGAGAGATCGGCAAACGCTGTCACCTCGATTGGCTCTGGCTCCTGTTAGCAGCTTTCAACTCGTACTTCGCGACATTGCCATTGCGAAGACAATGGCTATGACCCGTCGACGACGACACAGACGACGACAAAGACTGCGACCGCAACCTTTAACATCACTCTAACAACAACTGCTCTTCTCGAAATAAAACACGATGCCCTGGACCATGACGACAACTATTTCCATGCTTCCTCAACATTAAACATTCGTTCACCAGCAACTAGCAACCGCTGACGATCCCAAGTGCTACCTGCTACATGCCTGCTCAGAAGGATATGTGTCTATAGAGGAAGTCTGGAGTCTGGCTTCTACTTGCACGGATTTAGGGTTTAGGGTTTAGGGGTTTAGGGTTTAGGGTTTAGGGGTTTAGGGTTTAGGGTTTGCAGTGCTCCTGGAACCTACAATCAGTACAAGTCCCACCCCATTGCACGATGGACCTTCGAATGTCCTGACTTACAACCTTCAGTTGACCTGTCCTTGCAGAACCTAGGTTTGCAAAGGCCGCTGCAGTTGCTACAACGGCCCGCAGAAGATTGGCAGTACTTTCACCTGCCCGAAATGCAAGCCGAAAAACAGCAACAAAAAGGGACAGCCCCCGACACTTACAAGCCTCGTCGGCCGTAGTACTTCGACTATGAATCAAAACCGGGCTTGGGGTTTAGGGTGCATGCAGTGGCTCACTCCCCTGGAAGCAAAGAAAGCAAATGAAGGGCCGCACAACACCTTCCCTATGACATATCTTTATGTTTAGGTGCCCCGTTTGGGCCGGCCCCGATACATGAATATCTCACGCTGTCCACGAGCACCAGCTACCCATGCGTCCGAACAGAAAACTCGTCGGCCCGGTTTGCCCAGCAAAGCTCCTTACCAAGCCCTACAAAACCCTAGACCCTGAACCCCTAAACCCTAAACCCCTAAACCCTAAACCCCTAAACCCCTAAACCCCTAAACCCCTAAACCTCTAAACCCTAAACCCTGAACCCCTAAACCCCTAAGCCGTGCCTCGCGATGCCCCGCAGAATCTGCAAGTATTCCTCCGGCATCGGGGTTGCAAAAAAGCTGAAGCCCTCAAAGTCCGTTCGGGTCCTGAAACCCTGAACTCCGCCAACCCTGAAGCCTAGGCCCCTGCGTCCGACTTGCGGATTAGAGGCTTCTTTGCTTTTTTTCGGAGCTTTTGGACTTCTTCCTTGCAATGCTGTTGGGGTTTAGGGTCTAGGGTTCTTCTGAAATAACCTTCTGGAGCTTGACGTGCATGCGAGAAAGCAGTGCCGATAATACGGCCTACACCAGGCTGATAAGAATCATCAGAGTGACTCCGACAACGATGGCGACGACGATGATGGTGGAGGTTGTGATGATGACGCTGGTGCTGGTGGTGGTGATGATGTTTGAGTTGATGATGATGCTGATGCCAATGGTTGTGATAGTGTTGGTCGTGATGGCAGTGGGGGGGTGGTGCGCTAGAATCATGTCTAGTAGTCTGTATAGTCCCAGATGTTCTGTCTCTGACGACTGATGATAGGCTCCGGGACCGATGCGCATACCTCGAACCTGAACAGTACCAACCGACAATTCAATATTGCTGTCATCGACCCCTCAATCCCTAAACCTCAGAACCCCTGAAACCTAAATAATGTAGGGGTCTTAATAATCAAAATAGGGTTTGAGGGTATATTATAGTATCGTCCTAAACAGGAGCTCGCCAAAATAGTATAGGTAGTTGTTTAGGCCGCTATATTCTTGCTCTTCTCCCCTCAACCTCCCTAAACCCCAAACCCTAAACCCTAAACCCCGGTGCCTCGTGGGAAATGCGCCGTGAGCCCTTGGCGGTCCGACGTGCAAAGGCCAAGTCGGCGTCGACCTGCCAAGAGCAGCTTAGGGTTTATAGGGTTTAGGGTTTAGGGGGTAGAGCCCCTTCAAACTGGGACCGCAATATGGAGGTTTCCGAAAATCGGGGACCCTAATATAGTACCCTAAATAATAGGATCCTTATTATAAGGACCCCAAAATAAGGTACCCCTATACTCGGAAGCCCCCATATGAAGTTTCCTAGAGGGTCTAGATTCGTTTAGGCTCTGAGGGTTTAGGGTGTCGAGCTGAAGTTTTGGGGGGCTAGGACGACTATATGTAGCAGAGGGCCTCAACAATTAGACTGGGATTCCTATACAGGGTTGTGTAAGGTTTACGACAAGGGCTTAATATAAGGCTGCTATTCAGGGATTTACAAGGTTAAGATTTGCGGATTTGAGGTTCGAGGGGTTTCGGGTGTTAGGGTTACGGGTTCTGCCATGTTTTCTACACTTTCAACAACAGTTCCACAGGCCTCGCGGCTCAAAGAGGCTCATGGTGCGTGGGCTTAGCATTTTCAGCTTTCGCTTTTTGATTGAGGGTTACAGAACTGGGCGGAAGGTTTGTCAGGTGCCAACCCTAAACCCTAAACCCTAAAACCTAAACCCTAAACCTAAACCCTAAACCCTAGTGCTGGGCCCATGCTCCTGGTTCAATTTCAGCGAAGTTGGATGATCTGGGCTTGGGTGCTCGTTGGGCTTTAAGTCCAGGTTGAAGGGGCTGCCTGGGGAGCTGGCAGTTTATACGCCCTAGCCACGCAGTCTTGCGCATACCTAGAAATGCAGGGGCCCTAATTTTGAGGAGTTGAGGTCCAAAGGCTATGCGCCTGGAAGCAGCTACTCCCATAGGGTTTGACAGCGCCCACGGATGGATTACGGAGTACATGAAATCCTTGGCTTAAATTATTTTAGGGTCTAGAAGCTACCATGCTTATCCCCTAGACCCTAAACCCTAGACTTTAGAGCCCTCACAGGGAGGGCCCCTGATCCTTACATTGACGTACACCCAGTCATACCGAAGCCATGACCAGAAGGCCTTGGTAAAGTGCTCATCGAGAAGGTTCCCATCCTTCAGGCTCTTGATGAAAGCCCGGATGTCCATGCCTCGAGTGCTTCATTTAGGGTTTAGGGTTTAGGGTGTAGGGTTTGGTTTAGGGTTTAGGGTTTAGGGTTTAGGTCAGCTAGAGCCGGGTACAGCCCAAGATATGTGGAGTGTGGTTTCGGGTGTTCTTGGCTCTTGGGGTTGTGACCTTTGGGATCATTTGTAGCGTAAAGTTAGGATCGCGAGACTAACGTTTCCGATCTTGATTGCTCGCTGTGTGGGGCTTCAGAAAAGGATCGACTGCGATGAACTACTCAATCTTTGAGCTTCGCACGCTCGGAATCATGGCGAGATGGAGCCTCACAATCGAAATCCCGAAATCCTCACTGCAGCGAGCAATACAATGAGCCAGCAAATCTGCCATAGGACCCTTATCATTTGCAGTCTCGAGGTAACCGAGTAGAAGCCCTTATATAAGCTCACAGTATCCGCCATAAGGGGGACAGTTAACACCCGAAACCCTAAAAAAAAAACGTCTAAACTAAAGGAGCTGGGGTCAGATTTGGGGTTCGGAAAGGGCCCGAATTAAATCCGGAACTATCTGGGTAGCTCTCTAAATTAGGGCCCCTTTTTTTGTCCCAAGAATAGCATGGGACACCTGAAAAAAAGGACCCTAAAAGGGACTCTGATTTTGAGAACTACCCATATAGTTTCACCATGCTAACATCGTGCCCTTCTCTGGCTAGACTTCCGGGCTAAGCTGGGGTTTGGGGTCCTAGGTTTCGGGCAATGAAGCCGACACCTCGGGGGTTTAGCTTGACAGCGCAGGCTGGCTAACAACTCTGTGCAAGACTATCGCTGTGCAAAGGCATTCACTAACCCGTCTCGTGAGGATTTTGAGCATCGCATCCAAAACCACGCAGTGCAGGGCTCTCATCCCGAAGTTTATAGTACAAGTGTAAAACTGATGGCACCAAACCTTGAGCACGTGAGGAGACGCCTGTTTTACAATGAGCCTGCTGCCATATCATAACAGCATGAAGCCTCATGAAACCTATACGTTCAGCCCGCTACCTTTGCAATCAAGAACACACTGACGCAAATTATGCTCTGCGGCAGAACCCTACGCTGTCAATCAGTCAGTCCAGTGGCCATTCTGCGGCGCATAGTGGCGGAAGACTTCCACCATGTCAATCGCCATGGCTCACTGTTTTAATTTCGGCTTTCTAGGACCCTATCAGCTCATTGCGAGACGTGCTTTCTTCGAGGTTCTCGGGTGGAGATCAGAGCTTCGAGGGAGACTTTCCCAGAGGTGGGTCATGCAAACCTAGGAATTCCTGGATCCGGGTATACTCAGACAATCTCCGCAGTAAGCATACCCACCATCAACGACGGGCAGGCCACTGCTCAGGGTGCTTGGGAAGGTGCTGTAGGGTATAGGGCTTGGGCAGTCGGGCTGTATCGTACCAAATGATGAAAAATCAATACAAAGACGAGGCAGGACAGTACCATGTCGCTTGAGCGAGGCGGCAAATTGCGGAAAGAACATGGACAAACAAAAGGATAGACATCATCATGGGCGTAAAAAAGCACGACCTTCGCAGCGCACAGCAACCATTGCGTTTCTTTAAAGTAGAGCCATATATCATCATGTCGAACCATGAGGTCGCATGCATAGTTAACGGCAGCACCGAAGACGAACCTGCTTAAATACCTTCGAAGACGGCGTACCTCTGGTGATGTTGACTCACTGTTTAGTGATTGCGGCTTTACGAAGTTTCGAGCTTGGTTCCCACATCCGCGAACTGCAGTTCTGGGTTTCTTGCTTGGCAGGCACGAAGGATCATGCAGCCTTGACTTCGTGACTCAGCGAAGTTTCTACTTCGGACCCTGAACCCTAAGAAACACACAGAAAAGCCACGAAGCAGTAGGTGCCTGAACCCATATACCGTGTATACCCTTTGAGCCATAAAGCTGAAAACTCGGCAGTCCTAAAGCCCTCAAGTGAGAAACTCAAACCCTCAAAGTCAAGTCCTTGATGTACTGCTGGAAGGGCTCATCCCACTTGTCAATGTTGGCCTCGGGGCTTTTCAAGGAATCTCTACAAAGTCGGAACATGGTCGCGGATTTCCTCGACTCCTTTGGAACGTGGAGCAAGCATGACGCGCTGCTGGGCATTGCTGCTATACATGCCATGCGGGGCCAAGGATCCGGATATCCATGTTTTCTGTTTAGGGTTTCGGGTTTTACTTTTTTGGGGGTTATCTTGTATGATCCTAAAAATATACAGCTGGTTAAACCAAATAAAGAAACAACTATGGGGACTATACGCAGGATTCAAGGTTTATAGATGCTTAGGGTTTGGAAGTTCCCATATCCGTCTTCGGTTTCGAGCTTCAGACAGTCCGGGCGAGGAGCGTTGAACGCAACCGCCAAATTCAACGAAACCCCCAAAAGCCGCGAGCCTAAACCCAAAAGCTTCAACCCGAAACCGCCTGAAGCTGCTTCTAATTATGTCAGACATGAAGAATTCGAAGATTACAGCCCAAACGAAGCAGGTTTAGAACGGCAGAAAGGCACTAAATGTAGGGATCATCAAGCTTCGAGCACAAGACATTTCAGGGTTCCGGAAGTTCGCAGGCGATCGCCTGCACCTCACCCCGAACTAAGGCCCTACACCCCAAAGCCCTAAACCCCTAAACCCTGCACCCTAAACCCTAAAGCCCTAGACCCTACACCTTAAACCCCAAACCCTGCACCGTAAACCCTAAACCCCTAAAGCCTGCACCCTAAACCCTACATATGTTTCTTTGATTGGAGGCTTGAAGTCCGGCATGTTTTTTTGGGCTCTGCGATTGGGATTTGCAGGTTGAGGCTTCGCGCGTCAGGCTGTTTTTTTCGGAGCTGCTGCCCTGCAATATAGGAACCTGATTAAGAAAGCCTGGGCCTTTATTAGGATTCTTAGTATGAACCCTAGTATATTGAATTATAAGGCCAGAATTCACTATGATTTGGGATCAGGATACCAGGACGCTCCAAGTACCCTCAGATAGGGGTATTTGGTCCCCAAATTAAGGGGTCCCCAAAGTAAGGGCATTTTTAGGATCTAATAGAGGGTAGATGGAGAGTCTAGATAGGCTTCGTTTTCAGTAAAATGATGCTGCAAGGGTAGGCTCACTGTTGGCACCACACTTCCCCCAAAACCAAGGAACGAACCTTGCGTTAAGACTAGCGAAACAAGCATGCTGACTTAAAAAACGCCCAATGAAACATCAACCCAATGACAAAGACACTAAAGCAACGAATATATCGAGAACTATACGGCAGCAACAAGCATGTCCCTAATTATTCTAGCTAAACCCCACCTCGTTGCAGGAATAGATCTTTCCTCGGGCAGGAATCCTGGCACCAGGGACGGGCTTCGTTCTCGAGGCTGAGGGCTACTACGAGAGCTACTATTACAAAGTATGTAGAAGGACTTCTACAGAGGCTACTCTTACGGGTTGCGATGAGGGTTACTATGAGTTATAATAGGTTATAAGTTTGGGCTACTGAGTACTTACTCGAAACCCGGTTATGATGTTCTTGTTGGGGTTGTACTCAAGTTTTCACCGACCGGTCTTTATTGGGGGTTGAAAGTAGAGCTTATGTTGGGGGGGCGGGGGGGCGTGAGGGACTAAGGGAGATGTCTAGGATATGGGAATGTCCTAAAATAAGGGGTACCTTATTTGGGGGGTCCTTATAATAAGGATCCTACTATTTAGGGTACTATATTAGGGTCCCCTATTTTCGGAAACTCCCATATGTACTGAAGGGCGTAAAGGGTCGTACATTGGACCTTGCGTAGGTCTACGAGTAAGGGAGGGTGTAGTTCGGACAGGTTTACTTCAGCAGGCAAGTGCAGCTGGCATCATTTGAAACCCCAAACATACTCACCGTCTTGATTTGAACTTTCAGAAAGGGTTTAGGGCATCCTTATATGTAGCTCGTCGGATAAATTGCCTTGCCCTGAAGCAACACATACTCGAGGGCCCCTTAGCCGGAGGTGTGGCATTCCGTGCTCAGGGTCTGGGATCTATAGGGTGTCGGATCAAGGGTTTCTAGGGTCTATAATCATAACGGGGCCTTGACAGTATAGTATATTCAGAATTCTTAAAATAGCCAAAAGGAAGGGTATTGGTAATGTTTCAGGCTCCAAAAATGTTGCAAAAAAGCGAGCTGAGGCGACTTGATGCTGGGTCGGGTGAGCACGTACTCGCCGATGGAGTTGTCGAGCGTGAAGCCCACGACGCCCCTGGCATGGGCTTGAGGATCCGAGGAAAGCGGATGTTTGGGGCTTGGGGCTTGGGGCTTACATGGGGTTTTCCCATTACAGGTTATCAACGGTTACTGTAAGGGCCATTCTGAGAGATACTATAATTTATAAGCACTGCTATATATAATTTTGAGGGCGGGTTGAAGGGCTTCATGCGTTTGTTGCTTTAGGCGCGGTACATGGAGCCGCGTGGGGTGATATGGTAAAGGACTTTTGCTGTGGCTCCAAATTACCTCTCATCTCCTTGCCACACGCACCTACTCACCGAGCCGGTGACCCTTCAATCACAGTAGAGGAAGCTCCAAACCCTGACATCTGGTCTAGCGATTGGGCGGTTCCGGAGGCTTTCCAACGACGCTCCAACAAGCCCCTTCCAGAGCCCTTCGAGAACCTCTTCTAGTGGGTGCCCAACATAGATGCCCTATAGACCCTTTGTTGAACTCCCTGTAGATAAGAGAACCTCTTGTGAAACCCCTTGTAGAACCCGACAGCGCCCCCAACTGCGCAACTAGAATTCCGTTTTCCGGGCTTATTGCAGTACAGCTAGTTTAAGGACCCCTGAGGAATTGGCACAATTGGCGGGTACATCGGCAATAGCGTTGGTAACTCATGCAGTCCCATGTTACCTCACTTCAGGCCTGCCGATGGTGAAGACCAACTCGGTTGAGCAGGAATAGAGGACGTAGCCGGCGGCGACGAGGTTCTGCCAGAGGTTCCAATGGCTTGGGGGGTGCAGCTCTGGCTTTGGGGCAGGGCTCTAACTCTAGGGGTTAAGGGTTTCTAAACCCTGTAGACCCTAAATCTTATAGGGTTTTGCCCGGGTTTATTTATAAGTTATAAACCCTAGGGCTAATTAAAACCTGGTTGTCGGGTTTTGGCACTCGAGATTCCGGGTTTTCCGGGCGTTTCCCCAGCCTTTCCCGGCTGCAGCGTCGCAGCAAGGCAGCTGACTTGGTCGTCATCCAGGTCCTGGCAGGAAAAGACAGGGTATAGGGCTTCTAAGCACTTTTATGATTTCTGTGGCTCGAAGAATCCCTAAACCCTAGGGTATAGGGCTTACATGTACCCCAAATCACCTACCTTTCTAAGGACTTTTATGAGGAAATCATATGAAGGAACGTAGGTTTCTTAGAGGAAAGCTTCGGGAGCAGGCGCCTTTTAGGCTCCCTAAACCCTAAACCC